TGAAATGATGAGATGCATCCATATTGGTTTGCTATGTGTTCAAGAAAATGTTGCTCACAGACCAACTATGGCTTCAGTTGTTCTCATGCTTAGTGACAATTTAATTAGTCTCCCAGTGCCCTCTAAACCTGCATTTTTTTTGCACAGCCCCATTGCATCAAACATGCCATCCTCATTTGGTTACAATTCATGGGTACAAGGCTCGAGGAGAGCTGAGGAACAATTAGTCCCCTCGTCAAATAATGTTGTTTCAATCACAGAGCTATATCCTCGATAGTTTTTGAGATTCAAAGGTACAACTAGATTCATATTGTCAACCTAGTTCAAAATAATGCTAGAATTCACTTACTAGATGAATACCTCATTAAAACCTATAAATACCTTCAAGGGTCCCTTACTAGAGGTATTGGAAACTGACCTAGAGTCTTTTTTAGCTCCCTTTTTCATAGACTAAATTATTGTTAAGTATCAAATTGTTTATCCCGAAAACTAATCTGGGGGTTTTGTAAGTTAATATTAAGAGAAGACTTTAGCTGAGTTAGCACATAGATTCATTGCAATTATATTAGTATTTTTGTCATCAGGAAGTAAAATAAGCTTACAATTACAATTTTCATTGTAATCATAATATTGCAGTATATATTTATTTTAATTGTAACTTTATGATTTTATTTAGTTTAATAGCTATAGTATTGTTAGGTGGTAATCTCTTTTTATATGTGAAATGAAATGTTGAATTGTCCTGCTGTTCTGGTTCTAGAAATGAAAATCTTTTGAGATGGATTTAGAGCCTGTTTGGTGCAGCTCCTAAGAGCTTCAGTTTCTGGACACTATTCATGTCTCATGAATTTAAATTTTCCTCTTAAAAATTTACAATTTTAAATATTTTTTTAACTTCAAAAAGCTCTTAAACAGTAAAAGTTCAAAAGTTTCAAATTCAAATTTTTCATAAACTTCCTTTTTACTTACTTTTCACTCTCTTTTTCACCTTCCTAAAAGCTAAAGCTCTATTTTCTCTTCAATAAAAATTTAAACTTATCACTCATAACAATACTCAAAAAGCTAAAACTCTCACAAGCCACACCAAACAGGCCCTTACATTGAAACCCAAAAAGGGAAAGGCTACGTAAAACTTTAAGTGGTTATGATGGTCCTTAAAATTTTAATTAGTGTAGACGTTGGTCCTTGAAGAATATGTTTTTGTCCAAGATGATTAAATTTTAACAATAACACTAACATCTCAAGTGTTTTAATAATAATTTTTAAATAAAGATAATTATTTTAAATTCACGTTGTATATGAATAGATAAAATAATAAAAGATAATTGTTTTTTATTATATGATAAAAAAAAAATCAGAGAAGTCGATGAGACTGAAATGAGAACCGGCGTTGATGTCTGAACCATCTGCCTTCTGGGGTAAGGGCCGTAAGGCCATTGCAATTAGCTACCTTGTTACCTACTCTAGTTCTCATTTTTTTAAAAATGAAAAAAAAGGTTCAAACTTTGCTGGCCGCCTGGCCCGCCTCATTGAAAGCAGAGGAAGTCCAAAGTTGAAAATTCAGAATTTCCCTCTCGAAATCATGGCCTTTTCGTTTAACACTCAGTCCATCAATCGTTGATTTGGGAAAATTTTATTAGGGTAAAGTCATGCCTCTCCATCCTTAAGCAGAG